TGTGACTATTTTTTTGTGAGAATTGTCCCTGATACTTCGGTGTGACATTATTTCATTTATTTCATACACCATCACAGACAGCTGATGCTCAAAAGAATCATAAAAGTCTAATTCCATATCAAGTCATTTTCGTTCTTTATTTGGTCCCTGAAATCACATCCCTTCAGACTCGAGGTGGTGTTTACATGCAGAGAAAACAGCATGTACAAAGGCCCAGAGTATAGACTGTGACAAAGGGCCAGTAGTTCAGGATAACTGAATTGCAAGGTCCAGGGGAGAGAATGGTGTGTAATCGCTAGAAAGCTAGATTGCGTTCGCATTATAATGGCCTCGTATGATATTCTGTGGACTTTGACTTGCTGATGGGGAGTATAATTTAGGCGGAAAGTACAAGAGCAGATTTGCATTTGGAAAATATCATCCTGTCAGCTTATTACACAACAGAGATAGAAGCATGTTCATTGCTAGACTTAGGCATATGTGCAAAGTTTGTTGTTAATTTCAACATCAGATCTTGTTTGATTCCAGTTGGCAAGCAAGACTGCTATAGCAAAGTGCAGAAAGAGAGCTTATATAAGGTAAATGTTAGTGCTACATTGGACACTGGGAAACCAGTGTTTGGTATATTTTAATTTCAGAGATAAACTCAAAGAGGAGATTCCATGTAAAAATAAATTGTTTATTAATCACCTCACTCCTAGAGTTTGGTTTTGTGATTAAATAAGTTTTCCTCCTTAACCTATTAGTAGATAATTTATTTTATTAGAACACTTATTGAAAAAATTAACTTGTTCATTTTTCTGTATGGATAAGTAAAACAATGAATCAATTTTCAATTTTTATGTTTCAAGATCCTCCTTTCCAATGAGATGAATATTCCGAACATTAATAATTATGTATAATGGAGTACAGATTTATACATTCTATGTGGGGGTGAATATGTTCTGACCTCCAGGACATACCCCACCCATATAAACTAATCCTCTTGATTTTTAACAGAATGTTTTTAACTAGTATGTGCAGAAGTTAAAAGGAAAAGAAAAAAGTGACCATGTACACCAACTCTTCTGAAATAGTCTCATATAGGATAGTTATTAACAGTGCCCCCCGTCACACCAAAAAAAGTATTTAGATGAACACCAAGTGCCATGAGAGATGTAAATCCCAGCTCTGATACACTGTGTGACTTTAGAAAGAAAGCTCACTTTGGTGTTTTCATCCATAAAACTGGAGAAGAGAGGTTTTTCCTTGCAAAGTTGTGAGGAATAAATTCAGTGTTCCCTTCACAGGTATGGAGCACATGTAATTGCACAGGGTTCCACGCTAAGACGGTACCTGTGCTTGCTTTAATCCTCTGTTGGTCTCCTGAAATGCTTAATACATTTCAACAAGGGTCAGTGCATTTTCATTTTGCACTGAGCCCCACAATTTATAGTCATCCCCGATTAAATGAGAAAGGGGCTGATTAAATTCAAATTTTCTTTCTTAATTCTCTCATTCTGGTTTAAGTCCTGATTTTATTTCACCAAATAGGAAAACATTTTTACTCATTTTTAACCAACAGAAATATTAAAATATAACAAAAGCAGGTTACTTTTCATAGAAACGAAAACCTCCTTTAAATTATACAGTATAAACCTAATAATATTTATGGCAGAAGATACCACCTATTTAAATGTTGGGAACTTAAAAAATATTAATATATTTTAAAGGGTAGTTGAAGTAACTTGTTACTGAGCAAATTCTCAGTTTATACAAGTTGTTAAAATGATTTAGATATCATAAATGACTCTCCAAAATTAGAGGAGTTCTCTGGCCTTTCACACATAAATATCTGTCTACACCTGGCTAGTCACATTAGGGGCAATATAAATGTCCTAAACTTTTGTGTGTATATATAAGACTAGAGGCCTGGTGCACGAAATTCATGCATGGGGGGAGAGGGGAGTCGCTCAGGCCAGCCTGCACCCTCTCGCAATCTGGGACCCCTTGGGGGACATCCGTCTTGCAATCTGGGACAGTTCCTAATTATTCACCTGCCTGCCTGCCTGATCACCCCTAATCACTCTGCCTGCCTGCCTGATCACCCCCAAACACTCGTCTACCTGTCTGATCGTTCCTAACCACCTCTGCCTGCCTGACCTGATCTCCTCTAACCCCTCTCCTTCCAGTCTGAT